GTTAATAGTAATACTGACATAATGGTAATAATGTTATAGTAATGTTATTAATAGTAATAGTAATGTTTTTCTCTAATAAACGCACATGACCAAGGCTAATCAGGAATGATTGCTAATTCTTCAAGTCCAGTTCCTTGCTGTCTTTGGCAGGTGTATTGCATCACCCCATAGAACCTGACTCATAAACAGCTCGTTAAGGGCTATCAAACAGTCATGGGTGTTGCAGATGAGTGCTTTTGGTGTCACATTTGTGTTCACGTGTGTTGCAGAAAAGAGCAGACTAATGAAATGACCAAAGATGCGAAAGCTGCCTCTTAGAGCCTGTATTATTGTGGTGTATAAGTATTGCTTCTTCAGTCTGTAAATGGGTGTAAAAAAATGAAGCACAAGTTCAAAGCCATGACAAGTTTTGTTATGTAGTCAGTTTTATCAGTAGACACAGCATTGCAATTTCATGGCTCCTTTTTTTTGGGAGAAGACATTCTTGTACTGCATTGGAGGAAGCATAAATTCCTGATTTAAATTTCAGTCTCAAAGAAATGCCTGTTGTTTGTGAAGAAACTGAAAGCTTCAGGAGCCAGTGTAGTGTTCTTAACAGCTTTTGAGCAATGTGAGTACAGTAAAGATGGAGACCTTTTTCTTGCTCTTATTCTCAATTCTGCATGGGTATCACAGGCTCTGATAAGCTTAATTGACATAGGCTATCCTTTTTCATAATAATAAACAAGCAGGTCCTTCCCAGATTAAACTTTAGTCTGAATAGTACTGTACTGAATAACCATTGTGCAGCTTTTGGCTTTTCTTCTCACTCTCTCCCTAGATGTATAACAGCATGAAAAAATTCCCATGCTCTGTTTTAGTAATGCAGTGTTTTGGTGGATTTATTTTAACTTAGGTATTGTTTAAGTTAGTTGAGCCAGGTGAAAGAAACACATTTGACTCACAGTATTTTTGATAGTCTTTGTTCCTGCAGTAGTTTCTTTCCCAATCTTCCTTAAGCCCTGAACAAATCTTTCTTTCATGCAATAGAATTTCTGGGCTTGCCCATCAGTACCGTCAAACTTGTAGGGGGTCTGGCCCTGGGCCTCTTAGCATCTATAACAGCCTTTAAATATGTAAAAGAGAATTAAATGCTCTGTTCACTCTTTTCCATGAGTACAGGAAGGAAAAAAAGTATTGTTGCAGCATAAAAGACTTAAGTTTGGCATCAGTCAGGTGCTTATATATGGGATGGGGTTGCCTGAAAAGACTACAGGATCTTTTTCAACTCTAGATTTTTAAGGACAGGCTAAACAAATATCTGTTGGAATTAATATTTGTACAAATTAACCATGTATATGGATAGAAGGACTGCATAAGTTTTAGAGATCCCTGTGTTCTGTAATTAAGTGTTGAAGACTGAAAGCTTGAATGCTGGGGCATTTACTGGAGGAAACAGAAGGACAGGTCTCATAAGTTCAGATGGATCCCAATTGCCAAGGGGATGTGCAACAAGACAGAACCAAACACTCTGCCCAAGCCCACTGACACAGGGGTCTGCTCAGGCAGCCTAGCAGGTCCCTTCTAGTGTGTCAGTGGTGTGAGCGCTTTGATTTTGGATTCTTTCATGATGCCTGCTATTCCTTGCACGTAGACGCACACAGATGATGGTATAATAGATCAGGGATATGGTCTACCCTAATCTGTTTCAGTTGGGAAAAGGTTATTTGAAAATGGTCAGCATTGTGGCAAAGCGTGTGAAAATAAAGTCTTATTACCGTTGTGAAAAGATAGGCTCAGAAGGCTGATTTGATGGAAGTAGCTGTTTTTTCTTCATTCTTTTCTAGTATAAATATGAATTTTAGTATAAACAATTTCCAAACATTAATTTATAATGTAATATATGCAATGACAAACCCACCACTCAGCAGGAGTAAGTTCAACATGAACTGTGAAACTTTTTTAAATCTTCTTTACTCTCTTTAAATTTTTTTTACTTGCCTTTACTTGACCCTTCTGACCTGTGGCTGAAAACATAGAGTTAGGAGGATGACAAATTTGGAATCTTTGCTTTATGTTATTTACTATTTTGTGCTGTTTTGAGTTCAAAGAAAAACTACTGTCATCACAGGGGGTTTTTTGAATTTTGATTTAAAAGGTTCCCTATGCTATTTGTAACCATACAGTTAAGCTGGTATTTAAGAAAAAGTGAGATAATTAATCCATTATCATTGTCAAAGACAACTGCATAATATAAAGGATCTGTGAAATAAGAGCAGTAAAATAGGTTTGTGTGGTTCTGTCTTTATTTTAGTGCTGGTAGAATAGCAGTGTTCTTACTAATGGTACTAAGCTTGTGCTGCTTGCAGTGAGCAGTACTTACAAAATGCGGAGCTTGACAAGCTGTATCCATGAAAGAACAGGGATTTAAACTTCATACAATTTTCAGCTATGACACAGAAGTCAGGAAACCTTGAATATGTTCCCCAAAATTATGTGGAATGGAAATTAAAGTTAGATTAGGAGGATCCATTCAGAATTATTTTGACTTTCCCTTTCCATAGCGCTTTAACATGAGCACCTAGAAATTGCTGCCATAGGATTTCCTGGTATTTAACTTTAAGCATCTGTTGCAGCTGCCCATTTTCCCCCACAACCCCTCCTCCTTGTGATACCATGTTATTGTTGGTTCTCTGTAGTTTTATATTGATTTGGCCTTCAAGCTTTAAGCAGGCTGAGAGGTTTCCAGAGGTGTGTTGTGACTTACAACACTGTGGCCATCTTTCAGTGAAGCATCTCCTGCTGTCTCTGTGAGTACTGGCCCAGCCTTGGAGGCTGATGCGGTCCCTGCTGGTCCAGTGATCCCAGTACTCTCTGTGGTTGTTGTGCAGCTTGCATGGAAGCATAACAAGAAGATAGGAGTTACTCCCTGGAGCAATAGCATGAAGTCTTTCACACAGTGTGGCAGCTAGGATGCTTGTGCTACAAATTTATCCAGAGTAACTCAAAATTAGTCCCAGGATGTAGAATGGCAGCATTTAGCCTGACTTGGGAGGAAAAAGAGTCCTGTGGTTGTGAGCCCTCCTGGGTCACATCCTGTGCTCCTGGGGATTAGAAAACAAGCCCGGGCTCTTTTTGGTTTGCTGGTTATGGGAGTAGCTTTGCTGTCTTGCTGCCATGGGATACGTTCAGCACGTGGAGGAACCTGTATCAAAGAATTTATGTGAATGCACTTGCAGTACTGCAGAAACCTGCATGAGACAATGGTCATCCTAACAGCAGGCTGAAGTGTCCTGATGAAGAAATGGCATAGAGCCGTGTCCCAGACCTGAATACCTACTTTTCTTCGGCACTTCTTAGTTTTTCTTGCTAGTAGTATGAGGCAATGAGAGTGTTTAACAATTTTTTCCTAAGTCCCACTGTGCAGACTTAGTTCTGGACATCCAGGTGCAGTAATTTACATTTCTTTTCAAATGTTGCCATGATTCTACTTAGCAGCAGGAAAAAAAAAACTTTCCAAATTTTCTTTCATGAGTTGTCTTTGTTATGGCTGAAGAACATTTTTTATGCTGCATTCTGGTAAGATTTTAGTTAATATAATAGAAATACAGATTTAAATATATATTTGAAATGTATAAAAGTGTCTAATATGCATTGCATTTAAAATATGCTTATAACCTGAACCACACATTTGGTATTACTGTTAAAAGCTACATTTGTCACTAAATTTTGGATTAGATTTTCCTGTTTGTCTGAAGAAGTTGTTTGCTGTGTTTTGTATTTTCACAGACTGAAATAAAATCTTTATATCTTATTTATTCTGAAATGAAACATGAACATGTTTTTCCTGAGAAGTGCACTAGCTGGAAAGTATTGGAATTTTTTTATTTAAAATAAAAGTTAGACCTTTTCTTTAGGTGTATGGGAAAATATTCTTATTACTCTGAAACTTATTGCCTCTTAAACAAAAATAAGGAACAATGGATATACTGTGAAATTGGTTATCAGCTGCAATGTTTTTTCCTTTCCCTTACATTTTTCATGCTTTCCTGCTTTCCCATTCCTTTATGAGGCCTTTTCCTCCATGTGACATTTTAATTATGGAGCAATAATGAAAATTAAGAAAATTACTGTTGCAACAGAAGTTAGACGTTGATGTTTTTATATATATGGGTGTGGTCTTGTTTAAATTTACTTCAGCAGGAAAAAGCACAGTATATTTGTTTGAACATTTGGTTTCAGAATAGAATATACTTTGTGTTTATGCAGCTATGTAAATTGCATGTCAAGAGACTGTCTTTAGGAGGTTTCACATTTATCTAGGGTGCTACCAGATGCATCTGATTTATTACTACAAGATTTCATAAGGTACTGCTATGCCATGTTTTAATATTTAATCTGAGATGTGGAAGGCATTGCCTATTGTACTGGGCAACAGCCTTCCATTGTTTCCTTGAATCCCATTTATCATCTGTGAATTTGTGTTCATTATATTATACATATTGTGGGGCAAGGACTTTCCAAAGTGTCTGAGTGGCTGTGACAGTCATAATGACAATGTCGGGTACTTTTGTAGCGATAGGAAAAAAAAGACTTTGCTCTTCAGTCTTCTTGCAATGACATGTTTTATTTCAACCAAACACAACAAAACTTTTAAGTGCCATCCCGAGTGTGTACTTTACCTGTGAGCCACAATCAGAAAATACGTTGTTAATGTAGGAGTCATTATTTTAATGCGTAATGCTTTCCTTGTGGTACAAACAGAAAGCAGTTTAAATTATGAATATTATTTGTGATATGAATTATTAAACAGTGTCTGAGAGATTTAAAATACATCTCAAGGTGATACATGAAGGGCAGTTTTGAGAGTGTTTTCATCTTGAGGTGTGTTTCATGTTGACAGCTATTGCAGTAAGGTCTTCAAAGAAATTTAGATCTTACGTAAAAGTTTCAGAGTCGCAAGTCGTTGACTAGAATGTGCTCATGGCATTAAAACTTTTTTTAATCTTAATCTCTTTCAGTCCCAGCAAAGATGCATTGTGATCTTTGCACTGGTATGCTGCTTTGCAATTCTGGTTGCACTGATATTTTCGGCAGTGGATATTATGGGAGAAGATGAGGATGGACTCTCAGAAAAGAACTGTCAAAATAACTGTCGGTAAGAGGTAACAAACAAAACTTCTCTTTCGGGGTGGAAAGGAACATATGTGTGTTATATAAGGTCATGAAGTAATTGCTATGGTCCTGTGGTGTTATTGGGAAGAGCGCCTAACAGGAAGAAATGGTTTCTCATTTTGGAGGTTAGTTAAACAAAGCACACTTTTTGAAGTTATTTTTTGTGGTATGTTTTGAGCAAGACCCTTATGTTAGATCAATTATTTTGAAAGCCTGAGCCAAAGCCCATTATGTTTCAGTAATTGAGTACTGAGGTGGATCACATAGTTCCCAATTCTTTCATGTCTATTTCTCATCAAGACTGCCTCTTTCTTTCTTTCCCCAGAAAGGTCACTGATGCCTTTTGACCTAAGATTGCTGTCCCTTCTGTGTAGGAGGAGATTTTCTATTTCCTGTTTGATGCATTCCTGTTATAGACACAGTGGCTTACCTATGAACTGTAAAGGAAACTAGTGATATTATCAGAAAGATGAGTGTTGAAAGTGTTGGATTAAGATTTGCCTCAGGCACCTGCCATGGCTGTGTATATCTTTTAACTCTTGGTCCTGTTAGTTTTAAGTAGGTGATTAGTTTTTCGGACCTTTCATTTCCTGATTGTGAATTTCATTTTGCTGCTCCTCACTGTCAGCTTCCTCCATTAATCAGTTCATTAGTGATGACCAGTGCTTTTCCTGGATCGTCTTCTGGGCCTTTTCTGTCCACCAAGATGATGTAAAAAACATTTGTAGGCTTTATTCCCAGTTGTATTCTGTTTGGGATTTTATCAAAACTTTTAATTTCATACAGAGCACCCACTCTGATCCACTGTGCGAAAAAACCCATCATAGTTAAATAACTTCACAGAAATCCATTCTAATCTTATCATGGAATTGCTGGAGTGGGAGAGGCCTCTGGGCATCCTCCAGTCCATGACCCCACTCAGAACAGTCAGCTCCAGCAGGTTGCTCAGACATGTGCACAGTCATGCTCCAAGGATGGACTCCACAGCCTTTCTGGACAGCCTGTTCCAGTGTTTGTGCAGAACCTACCTGCCAATGGTTGGATATACATTGGGTAGGAGCTAATTGACATTGGAATTTTAAAATAATTTAATGAAAGATTAATGTTTATTTGAGCTTTTGATCCTTATTTCTGTTATTCTTTGTTCATTTTGTGTGAAGACTCTTTTGAGATAGTACCTTTTTATGCTGCACCTGTTACATTGCAGAAAGCACTAATTCAGAATCCAGAAAACTTTGTAATTTTTTTTTTAATTATAATGGGGTTTTTTAATATTATTTGCATGCTGTTTAAGAAGAAGAAAAAAAAAAAAAAAAAAAAAAAAAAAAAAACCAAGAGGATTCTTTAAATCTGTATCTCCTTCCAAACAGAATATACTTGCAGCATCAGGTAGCTTTGTCCTGAAACCAACTGTCCATCTGGCCCTTCTTGCCATAATTGTTTTTAGGTTTGGTTTTGTTCACTTCATTGTATTCCTACAGATCTGGACAGGCTTCTGATGTCTTCTCTGAATTTTCTAGAGTTCAGCCAGCTTTCTTTTCCCCATCACAGGCTTAAGTGTCTTTTACCATGAGGGGTTGCCTTCCAAAATTTTTGAAGTTACTGCATGTGTCACCTCTACACCCACTGTCTCAATGTGTGAATCCTTGACAGAACTAGATCAGATCAGGGGAATGTCTTTCTGCTCATTGGCTTCAGTGTGCTGCACACGACTTCAACACAGTCAGAAACTACTACACCGTGTTTCCTCTTAGTTGGATCAACTAATGTTTCCCATTCTGTTCTGGGTAGCTATGTAGGCCTGGCCAAGGAAAGACTTCACCTTCGTCACTTTTTGTTCTTCAAAGGAGAAAAAAATCAGAGTAAAAGTAATACATAGTACTAAGAAAAAATGGGGATATTAATTTTTTTCCATGTGAGAGATTGATTTCTTCTGTCTGTTTGTATGGGTTACAGCAATCTGCCTTTCCAAAGAATGCTTACCTTTGCTCAGTGTTCTGTTGGTTCACATGTGTCGGTCTTGTCCCTGCCTGGATTGTGTTCGAGGAACGTGAGACTAAATTCAGCACTTTGACTTTAAACATAATAATCAATTAAACTGCTCTGCACTTACAGGGCTAAAAGTGAACCCAGACCCCAGCTCTATTTTAAGGCGCCTTTCACTGAGTGATTCAAGTGTGTGATCTAGCTACTAATGCCTGAACTAGAAGGCACATAAATGCTGTGCGTATAAACTGCCGAAACCAGTTCTAATAACAGTATCCAAAGTGCTGGCAGCTGCTACCTGCTACCATTGAGTCTTTTCTACATGATGAAACTGGAGTCCTTTATGTGTTAAATACGTCACAGAGTTAGCTGAAGTGTCACAAATCAATTGCTGCCATAGGCATATATTTAGTACTTGGGCTAAGCACTTTTAATAAGACAAGAGTTTCTTACATTTTGGCTGTGTGAGTACTTTCCCTGACATTCAGGAAGAGGTGCTTACATTTGTAGGATGTGCTGAGACAGAAATGGTAATAGATGATTTCTTAACTTTTTTTTAATGAAATGTTTGTCAAATATAAGTCTATATGCATGAGGCTATAACTCGTTTTTTGGTTTTAACTGATTGAATTTGTGAAGAATGTTGATGGGAAAGGATGCTGTGGATTTGAGAAGAACTTTGATGATGGTTTTTAATGGTTATGTTCTTTGGAAAATTTAATTTCTGTGGTTTTTGTTTTAAAGGAAAATACACCTGAAATAGCACTGTGGTCTAGAAAAGTTCTCTAGCTAGAAAGTTTTGGAGCTTGTGTGAAAAAATAGAATTTTTAAGAGAAAGAAAGAGAATGTAAAAAGACTTTTTAGAATCTAAAACTTTTGCAAGTGGTGTTTTCCAGTAAAGCTTACATATCTCTTTGTTGTTGTGATTGGATTGTTCAGGAACACAAATGCAGCTTTTCTGATCTGCTTGTAATTCATCATGAGGCTCCTCTTCTATAAACCATTCCGTAAGCACTTATTACATGGGGAATACTTACTGCATATGTTCCCAGAATGACCTTACTCTTTATTGGTGTATTTACTTCTCCTGGGGGCTTTGTAACAAAAATAAGTCAGGGAATGGGAAATCAAGCTTTTTTGCATATCTTCTCTGATTGCTGGAGAGACTGATGCTACCCATCCTATTAAAAGGAATGTCAACTGATTGAAATTAAAGGAAAAAAAGTAGCAGTGACTGTGAAAAGTTGAGGCTTTGCTGTTTGTGCTCGGTTAGTGATGGAAATTATTCTCTTGAGGAATGATGTTCAGCAGCCCTGATGGATGAGACTGGTTAAGAGGATATGCTTAGCAGTCTGGGAATGTTGCCTGTCTTGCTGTGGGTCCATTAGACAGTGAATCTATAAAACTTGATTATTGTAATTTGAAAATAGTACATTTTAATGGCTGATCTATTGTGAATAAATCTTGGCTAGCCTCTGATGTAACTCTGTGCAGTTAAGACTTACTTGACTTTGTTGGAATTGATTGATAAACTCTAAAAACAGCAATTTGGGAAACTGAAGAAATTACAACTATTAAGAGATTGTCTCTGCTACCCAAACTATTTGAACCAATATTTGGATTTATTAACGGTAACTTGAGCTGTTCAAGGCTCAACTTGAGCCTCTTCTCCTGCTTGTTGGTGCTGATAGCCACGCTAGGGATCCTGGAGAGTTTTCACATGCCCTTAGTTATCCTCGTCTCACTGGCTTTTCCAATATCTGTTGAAGCAGTTGTAGCAGCTGGCATAGCTCCTACCTCTGGCTGTGGGTTTAGCCCTGTCTCTTGAGGGGAACTACAGAACAAGGAAAAAGGGGAAGCAATGGTGGCTACTTTCCATATTTACCAAGCCAAAACTAAAACTGTTGTCATGATATTTTTTTCAATATTGCCTTTCTCTGATGATAATTGGAAGGATTTTCTTACTTTCTGTTTTTGTGTGTTTTCATGGCAGATTCTGTCTTGCATTCTGTTCCAGTGATCCTGTTTTGATAATTTCTCTTCTCCTCAGAATCATATATAATGAAGGCACTTGCTCTTTTGTGTTTGGATTTGTGTTGGAAGAATTTGCTGTTGTTTATAACAGGAGTGGCAAAGCCTATTTAGTTCACTTTTTGATTGTATGGAGGCTTTAACCAGTGCTGCCCTATCACAAGTAGACGATGATACCTGAGCAATGTTTGTGATTTCTTTAGATATTGTTTGGATTGTTTTGGATGAGGATTGGTATCCTGTTTGGATAAGAATTGGTAGCAGGAGTTGAATCTTCCTGTTGACGTGCAAAGCTTTAGAATTCAACAGTACCCTGCAACGCTGAATTTTAGAGATTAAATCTAGTTGTATACAATAATTACTTATATTGAACAATTACTGTGTGTTGCATGCATTGCTTTCAATTTCATTAGGTGATTATTCTCTAGTTGTGAAAGAGGGCCCACAATTGATTTTTTTCTGTTGCTTTATAAATCTTTCTTTCAACTACTCTGCTATTTCACTAAGTAGGGTTTTGCAGCACTGTTAAATAAGCATGCTGCAGCACAGGCTTACATTCATTTACCTTGGAAGTGCTTTGCCCCTGGCTTATTGTGGAGGAGATTTTCTCTGTGCTGCGTGGGTTCTGAACATAGCAAGGTTTATATTGACTGGTTTCTATTTAATAAACAAGCTATGACAAGCATAATAGTTAAATGTCTAAACAGAACAAGATGCTGAGATTTTGAAAAGCCTGTTAAAGAGCAACTGAAGATTTCTATTTACAAAACAACTACTCCACTTGGCATAAAAATGCTTTCTGTCAACATGATGGACTAGAGGATCAAGTCTACCATCAGTCAGTTTGCAGGCACACTGATTTGAGCAGGAGTGTTGATCTTCTGGAGGCTCTGCAGGGGAATCTGGAGAGGCTGGATCAATGGGCCAAGGCCAAAGGTATGAAGTTCACTAAGGCAAAGTGCTGGA